TCTCTTGGACTTTAGGCTCTTGAGACCTTCTGAGAGGTTCACGCATAGGAGTCCTGAATTCCTAGCTCTGCACAGTTCAAGTTCTGCATTTCCTACATAACACTTGGCATCACCCATAGACTTTGTGAAATGCAATGCAGCTTGAGCATGCTGTGACAAAAGCAAGGGAATCTTCCCATCGACAACATGCGTTTCCATGACTCCCGGAAGTTTCGTCTCGGGGTCCAAAAAGGTCAAAGCAAATGGAATTCGACACTTGCCCAAAGTCTTGGTATCTCCGGCGAGTCCTCGGAAAGCTTTTGAGTCACACTGCAAATCAGCTACATCATACCCAAGACGTGCAAACTTGTCCTTGGCATTTTGGATCCATGCTTGTCCACAAACAGTTGCATTACATCCTTCGTCCAACACAGCCCAGACTCCAGGGTCTTCCATGATGTCAACAAGACGAAGTGTGTTTTCGATCGTGGCTTCGTTGAGATCCGACAAAAGTCCCATGTAGCAAGTTTCCGGAGCGGCCTCTCTGATGACTTCCACGGCATTGGCAAGGATCTCAAACAGGACGCCAACCCTCACAGGTTCTCCGAATTCTAACTCACACTCAACCTCCTGTCGAAACATCTCCAAGACCTCTAGGGTTCCTTCAGCTGACATGCATGCATTGTTGATTTCATTCTCAATCATAAATGCTGTCGTGTCGAATGCATTGGTACGCATGCCTACCACACTCTTTGCCATCGCCTCTCTCTTGCGCGCCTCTTTTCGGGGCATCTCGTCGACAGTGGTCCCGCGCAACTTGCAGTACCAACGGGACGTGGTCTTCGAACTACCCCGACGATCCGTAACCTCATGTTTACACTTTGCGGGATCGGCGACAGGTTTGCTCTCTTTCTTCTTTCTCTCATTCTTTCCGCAGTCAAGGCATGTCTTGTTCTCAACATATGCATTTGAACCTTGAAATGTAAATCTGGTGCAACGACGACATGGTTCCTCTAGCGGGGGGTTCGGTGGTTTCCCTCTGGCACTCTTGTCTCCAGCACGTCGAATTGCCTCCACCGGCACGTCTGTCAAGGGATGTTCTCTCAGGTTCACGTCCCCGTCCTGACTGGCTTCGTAGTACGTGGTCACCCAGGTCAGAAAATCTGCCAAGCAGCGCGAAGGGTGCGAAATGCCTGATCTCCACTGATAGTATCCAGGGTATTTGAACAACACTTCATGGTATGTCAAACCTTGGCGCTGACCAAACACGAAAACATTTTGTGAACCTTCAGGCAGCAAGTCTTGCTCCATGTCCTTCTTCCTACGCATGACCGGCGGGGACTTCTGCGGTGACCGACGGACATTTGGCTCGACCATCGAAAAGCTAGATGGCGGACTGCTAGTCACTCCTGACGACATGGATGCACGATCTGACGGTTCAAACTCCAGCTTCTTCTTTGGGGACATCTTGTATGCCATGTAGCACGTACCACCTTCGGCAGTTTGGCCACTGACATCGACACACATGTATTCATCTTCAACAGAAGACTCATCATCACTCAATGCGAAGTAGGCTGTGGCTTTGCTCGTTGACGACGTTCCTCCGGGGGACTTGTCGTTCTGCTTGGGGAACTTGCAGGCAGGGTCTCCTGCCCAATGTCCTTTTCCTCCACAACGCAAGCATTTGGACACTGTGTGTCCTGAACACATACTTGCCTTTTCCTTTGCTCTTTCCACCTTTCTTTCCTGATCCTTTGCCCTTGCCTTTGCTTTTGCCTTTCAACTGGTCAGTCACGACAAAGGCCATCATCTGGTGCTGGGCTGCACTGCCCAGTTCTTCTGAGACATCATTCTCTTCATCATCACATTCTCCCATTGCCATCAACGCTGTGGCAACTTCAGGGTCCTCGACATAGTCTTCATGTTCTTCGTCTTCTGGTTCTTCATCTTCTGCTGCGACATAAGCTTCATGCTCATAGTCGTCCTCTGCTTCTGGTTCATAGGACTCTTCATAATCCCATGAGTCATCTTCAACAATGTACGCAGATCTTTGCCAACTGCGTCCTTTTCCTCCTTTGTAGGAAGACTTGCTTGAGAACTTGCCTCCGCCTTTCTGCCTCCGGGGGCTTGCATTGCCAAAAGCGGACCAGCTGCGCAAGTGAATTTGTCCATGGAATTCAAGCAAGAACTTGGCGTAAACGTCAAAGGATTGGTTGTCGCCTGCAGCTGTCTTGATCATGAGCTGTTCTGTCTTGCTCAAGCCAGAGCCTTCCAGAAGTAGCTCACCACGCATGGGGTCTGAAAGACTTACCCCATCATCCATCTCCAAAAGCTTCCTCCACCAACGACGTCTTCGTGAAATATAGCTAGTCATGCTTTCTGTCGATTGGCGAGACAAGGGACCATGTGGGAGTTGACCCACTCTGAACAACTCTCGTGCTTCTTGCTGTCGAAGTGGAAAAACTTGTGCACGGATACGCGAAATCAACTCATCGATGCCAGTTGGAGTCAACAACTTCTCCAATCCCATGTCTTGAGCTGCAAGGTATGCATCACCTCGCAGGCCTTCCAACACCTTGTGAACAAGTGTTGCATACTCTGCTCCATCATCATCCAGTCCGGCAGTGCTCAGAGCTGGTTCTTCTTCGTCCACCACGCTCTCGGACTTCGGGGTTCCAAAAGCTTCAAATCGTACTTCTTCATCCTCTGATACATCCCCGGCCTCGGTCGCATGAGTCGGCCTCCTCCGAGAACGTTCTGGTGTGGCTGATTGGCTTCCATGACTCGAATAGGTCTTCTCTGACTTCTTCTTCGCATGTTTCTGCTTGTACAAAGCAACGCGGACCTTGGTGCGAAACTCCCATTCGAAGAAACCATTTGGATTGCCACTGTAGATGTATGATCCGCTCTTCGTCTCCTGTGGTCCTGAGATACTTCCTCCATGGGATGTGTACCGCAGGCCAGCCAGCGACATCGCAACTCAACAAGTTTCGCAAAGCACTGGAATTACAACGGTTCAACGGGTTCAACGGATTGCGCGCAGGGTCACACAATTGGGTTCGACGGTTGGATCCAGCGAGTCTCCCCGGGTGAGTCAGATCCTGAGGGTGCCCCTTCAGAACCTGCTCCGCTACCAGTTTGAATCTCGCACGGTTCCTTTTCACAGCAGCGAATCAGCTCAAGGGCCCTATTCAGCCGAAACAGCAGCGGCGGTGCATCAACTGTACGCAATACACCCTGGCTACAATCGGTAAAATTCACACATGTTTGCTTTTTGGTGATTGCAAACAAGAATCGTCCTAGTCCAGGTTGGACGCATCGAGCCGGACAAAGGGCATCGCTACTAGGAGCGATTGGACGCTACTAGGGACGCTCCTGGCCTCACCAAAACAACGAGTTGTGTTTGGACAGCACACCAGCTCGTTGAACACTGGTAACAAGGTTTCAGCTCCTCTGCAAAGACATTCGCTGAGTGCTGATGAGGATGGTGTCTTCGTGGTTTGTGAAAACCATTGTCCACTTTCAAAAACCCTACGGATTTTCTTGCAAACACAGGGATCAACCTTGGTGCATTGATTTAGGTGGCTTGGCAACATCAAATTGCCGAATCAGTCTGAAACCCCATCCAAAAAAATTCGAGGTGCCTTTGCTGGTGTCATGCAGGAACACATGGCCACAATAGCATATGAAATGGGTTGTATTGGAACAAATTGTGTGTACATGTGCAGTTGTAGTACACAATCACCCGATCATGTGAGAAAAAAACTGTGGCCACGCATGCCAGGTTATGCAGAATTTGGACGATGCAGGAGAGGCTCCTGGCATCGCTTCTAGGAGCAAGGATGCTACTAGGGGCTCCTGGCCGCACTACTAGGAACAAGAACGCTACTAGTAGCAAAGACGCTATTATTAGGTTGGAGGCCATCGCTCTTGGGGTGGTGCCTCGGTGTTGCCTTTGTTACCTGTGGTGCGTCGGGGAGGCTGAGGGCAGAAATTCCATAGCGAGTCATTGTTGATGTGTTAAAAAAAAAACTTGTATGGATTTAAAGCCTGCCGACAGCCAGCTGTGTTTGGGTTGGTCCAAAGTTAAAAATGCACACACACCATGTTGAAGGTTGGCGAACAATCGCATTCTGAGGGCTGGCAAACGCGCATCATCCAACAGCTCTCGATAGTGTCAATTGTGACATTTCATAAAGTGTTCTGTGCTCAATTTGGCTCCTGAGACGTTAGAAGTCTTCTCAGGGGGCGTATGCTGCTAGCATGGAAGACATGAGAACGTCGCGCACCAAGCCGCCAAGCACATTTGGCACAGCCCACTTTGCGTCTTTGCTTGACACGAACTGTGTGGCTTGAGGGAAGTCAACTCACAAGGTTGGAGGCCATTCCTATTAGGTTGGAGTGGAGAGAAAAATAGTATATGAAGTTGTCAACTTACTGCGCAAGTGATTTCGTCCAGAGCTTTCCGACAACCTTTCATCCGCCTAACCAGCAGTCGTTTTGGGATTCACAACAGGTAGAACCAGTCTCGACAGGTCTCGCCATTGTTCACCATTGCTCTGAAGGGCATCACATACAGGACTTGTACTTGCTTTAAAAGTTAACTTTGCTAGGTCTTCCATACTGGACTTGTGCTACTGCAAACGTTAGATGTGGCTTCCTTGCTGGCTCTGGCTCTCCTTGGCCTTCTCACATTGCTTTCTGGGCCCAAACAGAATTTCCTGAAGCTTCCAGTAGCTGGTTCTGTAACAAAAGGCATCGCTACTAGAAGCAAGGAGGCCATTAGTAGCTCCTGACATTGCTAGGAGCAAGAAGCTACTAGTCAATACTACGGACTGTGGATCTCCAGGTTCACTGTGCTTACCTGGCCTGCAGTAGTGCTTAGCATGAGTGTCTATTAAGAGCACTGCTTGACCACATGTATGTCAGCAATAGCCAAAAATGGACTTACAGTGGTTTGTGTGCATGTTCAACTTGATCGTCTTGCAAAATTGTTTCTGTTTGTTTCACGAGATTTACACCTTGACAGTAGTATTGACTTCCGCCAATTCAGCAATTGCCTGGCATGCTCAAGGCCGACTTGCTTCAGTACAAGGCAGCCGCCACACAAATTGACCAAAAGAAAAATAGCTGCAAAAAACGAACAAAGTTGTTGCTATAAATATCCAGTAGAAAGATACAAAAACAGAGGAAAAAAGAGAAACATGCCTTCTGCATTGCCACTTTCACTGCTGGTATCGAGACAAATCGATCGGCGTCATCAACATCCAAGGCCAAATCACCTCCGACCAAAATGTCAAGGCCAAATCCACAATACCGAAGTGTGACAAAGTCCTCCTGCCTGCAACTTCCTTCGCAACCTGAAAGCAGAACCAGACTTTATATCTATTCATTCTGGATTCTAAATTGCAAATCCAACAAGTTCCCATCCCCCCCTCCTCTCTGAGAAAGGGTGCCTTGGACAAAAAGAATTGTTTTTGTGTGACCACTTCGTCGGAAAGAACTCTTGGATCGGGATCGTAATTCAGTAAGATCCCGACGGTGAAATTCTTGGCTGACTCCTCAATTGCGATGGTGATTTGGAGCCCATCGCTTCTAGGTTCGAGGCCATCGCTATTAGAAACACAGAAAAAAGAAAAGGAAGTTAAGAAAGGGTTTTAAAAAAAAAGGAAAAACATTGTGGTTTGGATAGACCATTGCTCTTCAAACTTGAGGTTGAACCTCAAGAAAGGTATCGGAACAGAACCAAACACTTTTTGGGTGTTCCTTGCCGAACATTATTAACAAAGCGATGACCATTGTTTCACGCGCGTGCTTTGACATTAATGTGGCCTCACCAGTTTTTGCCGAAACTGCGCTCTCGTTGTGGGACCAATGGATTCAACCCACGTTGTTGGCCCGAACACAACTTCAATCTTTAATTGCCGCTTGTACTTCAATTACTTATTTCTCTTCTCCAACCTACTAGCAATGGCCTCTAACCTACTAACAACTTAAATTACCGCTTGCACTTTTCAATACTAGACTACCCCCAAGGCAATTTGCAGACAGACTAAACTAGAAGTCCTGAGGCCGGTTTGGATGCTCTTTGGCACACACCCATTCAAAGTCCTGAGCCCTAATATAGTTTGCTATTAGGTTGGAGGCCATCGCTTCTAGGTTGGAGGCCATCGCTAATAGAAACAAATGGAAAAACAAAAAACAGCTACCACAGGCTTTGGGATCCACCAACCCAAGTGCTCCGTCAGCTGCGCCCTAAAGGCGCCGCTGCCACGCGCGACTGCCAGATGTGTATAGCTGTGCGCGCGTTGGGCCGTGTGCTGATGCGACGTCGTCTATGGATCTGGACGTTGCCTTTGTTACTAGTAGCTTCTTGTTCCTAGTAGTAAGGCCAGGAGCTACTAGTAGCGTCCTTGCTCCTAGTAGCGATGCACTTGTTACTAGTAGCTTCTTGTTCCTAGTAGTAAGGCCAGGAGCTACTAGTAGCGTCCTTGCTCCTAGTAGCGATGCACTTGTTACTAGTAGCTTCTTGTTCCTAGTAGTAAGGCCAGGAGCTACTAGTGGGGTCCTTGCTCCTAGTAGCGATGCACTTGTTACCAGTAGCTTCTTGTTCCTAGTAGTAAGGCCAGGAGCTACTAGTGGCGTCCTTGCTCCTAGTAGCGATGCACTTGTTACCAGTAGCTTCTTGTTCCTAGTAGTAAGGCCAGGAGCTACTAGTAGCGTCCTTGCCCCCTGTGTTTGTTTACTCCACAATACGTGCGCCAATTTTGCACAATACGTGTCTTCTCGATGGATAGATAGATTACGCGACTTAGGCTTCATTGCAACCGACAAATGCAAAAATACAATCCCTATCTGCAATAATACAATGAATGCTTGTCAATTGTCAAGCACAATTTGTTATGATGCTACGAGGTTTCTGTGAGGCAAATGACTCAGCGCACGAAAATGCCGCGCGTCCGTCGTTGTCGGAGCTGAAGTTGTTGACGCAGAGGTGTTCCTGATCGATCAAAATACGTAGGCTGCAACCCAAACAAACACCAAACGTGCAGTCTACCTTGCTGCTTTTTGTTCGGCAATTTGTTCGTGGTGATTCCTGCTGAGTGCTTTCACATATAGTAGTTTGCCCTGCCATCTTAATGAATATTCGGTGACCATGGGAAGACCCATTTCCCTTCGTGTTCACAGTGGTGCTCTAGGACGGACTATTGAGGCGACTTCCCTCAGCGCCTCAAGTGTTCGGGCGTCGTTTCAGCCTGCAACTCAGCACACCACCAAAACCTTTGGTTCTCGAACAGACGCCGGGTACAGCTTGAAGTGTGTGTTGCAAAAAATGCCAGCTCTTCTTCAATCAAAGTACTTGTTCCTAGTAGCTTCTTGTTACTACTAGTAAGGCACTTGTTCCGAGTAGCGATGCACTGGCTCAAATGAAAGAAAACTTGTTACTAGTAGTAATGGCCTCCAACCTAATGGCGATGGCCTCAAACCTAGTAGCGATGGCCTTCAGCCTAGCAGGAAACCGGCACCACCCAGCGGCCTTTCCGTTTCGGGAGTACGGCGTTTGGTACGCACCACTGTGAGAAGAGATCACATCAAAAGCACGCTCGCATATGAACAGTGAGAACTGACGCTACCAGGAGCAAAGGGCATCGCTACTAGGACTCAAGGACGCTACTAGGGCGCTACAAAACTGAAAGAATGGCCGTACGTCACCTACACGCGGAGACTTACAAGCTGTACACCTCTGTGCTGCCCAGCGAACGTGCCCCAAGGCCCTTCATCACCAGTGGAAACTTGCAGTTAAACTGGCTGCACACTCCAGCTTGGTCCATTGATGCTGTTCTACAAAGCACACGCTCGAACAACACAAGCAGGGGCGCATGCTTTGAGTGAGAAACAGTGCTCCGGAAGCTCACAGGAAGCACGTTGCTTTTGCGTGCATTCACATGCACGCAATGTGGGCGGTCGACAAAGGAGAACAAAAGACCAAAATGCAGACTGCAAACCCAAACGCAGGACCTGTTTGAAACTCTTGTAGGACACCCTTATGAGACCTGCGCAAAATTTCGACACTCTTGAGTGACACTCTTGGGGAAGATTGGACGCACTGCTTGGCAAGCGACGATAAGTGCAGGATTCGCCACCCGTTGCATTTTTTGGGTGCTCACACCTGCTCACGAACTGGATCATCGGATAGGGATAGGAGCTCCATGGTCAGGGACGGATGAAACGTTGTACCTTACATGGTTAAGCAAAAAACACCAAAGTCCAGCCACATTGCGTCCTGGTGACTCGAGTGGACGATGTAAAAGAAAAGAAAACGTGTTTCTACTAGCGTCTAGCTCCAAGCTAGTAGTAACAAGTGCCACGCTAGTAGAACCTAATAGCGATGGCCTCCCTAGTAGGGAGGGAGCGGGCTAAACTCCGTTCAAGCTCCCAACCACGACGCCCGATGACACTGATCATTTGGACTCCTCTGGAACCATCACCTCATTCTGTGCACCACAGTGGCTTCCGGGACGCCCGGGAAGTATGCACACAAACCCCCTCGATCGACTTGCTTGGCTTTGGAGTGTTGGAGCTAGCAAGCCACACTTCCTTCGACAAATGGAAGCACTTTTTCTTAGTAGCTTCTTGTTACTACTAGTAAGGCACTTGTTACTAGAAGCGATGCACTTGTTACTAGTAGCTTCTTGTTACTACACTTTAAAAAGATACTTTGTCTTTGCACGAAGTTCACTCACAACAGGGCCATCCGACAATACTGACGCTTGAGCAACGTCAGCCAAACAGAACTATACGGTTTGTTCAAGCCCGAAAAAAGGGTAAGCCGCTGGGAGGTAGGTAGCTAGTAGCTTAAGAAGCTAATACTTAGGATGCAGGATTGCTCGCGCTAATGATTTGGTTCCTAGATGTTTAGGGAAACTTAAGTAATAGCGATGACCTCCAACCTAACGATGCCCCAAACACTCGCGATCTCGCAATCGTCGCCGACCACATGCGCCTTTGAAGAGTGCTGCTTTTCCGGTGCACCTTGTTTGCACCAAAAAGACTCACTTGGAGCAAAGGGCGCTACTAGGAACAAGGACGCTACTAGGGGCTCCTGGCCCTACTACTAGGAGCAAGGACGCTACTAGGGGCAAAGGGCATCCCTACTAGGAATAAGAAGCTACTAGGAGCACGGAACCATTGTTTCGAACATTTTGTGTCAAGGAAGTCAAAGACAGCATCTGATGGTGAGGGTCTGAAGCAGACAGCGAAAATCCTGACCAATGTCTGAGGCTGTCGGAGGAAGAACTGGGAAACTGCAAAAACTCAGCGTGGACAAAGACTGCAGATTTGTTCCTGACCGAATTGGTGAAGTTGCATGGCCGAGAATAAGAGAACCAGTTGCGCTTCTGCAATGCCACATTTGGAGAGGTGCGAGCGCCAAAGACGAATAATATATAATCAAAAGGAACAAGCTCTTCGAGCTCTTCTCGCTTCCAAACGGTCTCCCTGTGCACCCACTGATGCACCCACTGTACCCGGTGCCTGAACCTTCAACCCTTTGAGGCCAGCTCTCCATTCCTTGTGACAACTTTGAAAATAGCGATGGCCTTCAACCCGGCAGGAACCAACTTGTCCTTTGTAGCGATGCCAGGAGCCCCTAGTAGCGTCCTCTTGCTCCTAGTAGCGATGCCCTAGTAGCATTCTTGCTCCTAGTAGTAAGGCCCTTGCTCCTAGTAGTAAGGCCAGGAGCCCCTAGCGGCGTCCGAACGCTCCTAGTATGCATAAGTTTCAGTATCTTTGTGAAAACTTTGTCTACCAGTCTATGTCTACCTTTTGTGCTGAAGTGAGAAGAAGGTGCTTGCCTTTCAGCCCCCTGTGCAAGTCTCATGTCGGTCTGCGCATTAGTGCGCGAACTTCGGCGTCAACGTGCTCTGGCCATTCACAAACGGCATGCACTCTCTGTAAAGCCACGATGGTCGTGCAAGTGAGAACTTGCAAGATGGACCATCCAAGTCCAAAATCCCCAAAATCCCAAAACCATGGGAAAACGAATAGCAATGGCCTCCAACCTAATAGCGATGGCCTCCAACCTTAGCGACTGCAAATTTGACGGATCGTGATGTGAGGTGCGCTGTCGTGAAGAGTAGGGTAGCAGCTTATCATGTGGTCAAGCGCAATTGCGATTTGTGTGGTGGCGATTTGTGATGGAGTGAAATGATGGTGAAGTCAGCTCAAGGAAAAAAGTAGAAGCATTGGTTGTAATAATGTTGCTGGTTTGGAGCTCTCTACAGCCATGCAATATGTTGCAGCCAGTTCATGAAGGAGCCCCAAAAACCACGTACGTATGCACCCAGTTCAACTACTTCTCCATTTCACCTGATTTCGAGCAGTCTGGTTTAGAGAGCACGATGTGGCAGTAGTGAACTGCGGGACAGCGATTGCAATTCAAACGCTGATCCTTTCACCATAGTGACCGTAGTGACCAAAGTTCTGCACTGGTTGAAGTGACTGTCGAGCTGGCCAGGTCTTGAGGGTCCTGCGCACGGCAGTAAACAGCGGCTGCCGGGTATTGTACTTTTGAATTCCATGTTTTTCCTTTTTAAGCCCGGGGGGGTTAGGCCGCTAGGAGGTAGGTAGCTAGTAGCTAGGTAGCTAGTAGCTTACTTAAGCTACTAGTATGGACGCAGGATAGCTCACGAACTATTCATTTGGTTCCTAGATTTTTTTGGGAAACTTAATAGCGATGGCCTCAAACCTACTAACGATGGCCTCTAACCTACCAGCGATGAACTCCAACCTAATAACCCAAAAACTGGCCAAAAGTAAACAGCTAGCCAGTACCGCACTGTCCTTGACCTTGCTGAAATTCTTCATCAAGTCACTTGGCAGCGGAATATCCTGGAAAACAGTGACTGCAGTGGGCTACATGAACACATGCTGCATCTACATACAACTGGCGCTGCACTCTTGTGTGCGATATCCGACGTTTTTGGCAACAATCACATGCCTTACTAGTAGTAACAGGAAGCTAGTCGGTATTTTTTGTGTTTGATATGACAGGTATTGGTGTCGCACCCACAGTGTTCAAGGTTTCGAGGTGCAGTCTGGTGAGCTGCAGCTTGCGGCAGACGGGCGTGTCAAAAGAGTTGCCTTTTTCAGCCAATTTCTCTTCTCACAAATCCTGGACATACTGCGGTGGAGTGCGAGAAGACCTTTGCGAATCTGCTTGCAGGTTCAAAAACCGCTTTGCGTTATCCACCCACTCCATGTGCAAAGGAAACCCATCACACGCTGCTCAATCACATGGAAATGTCTTTCAAAATCGGAAGCTTTCAAGCAGCTGTTATTTTTTGTGAATGTTGGATCGGCGCTGTGGCAATTGCAGATACGTCATGAGCGGGGTTTCTTGGTGGCCTGGTGGACAAGGGCTTGCTGTGGTGATCCGCGTTGCACAAGCCCTAGTTCCCCATCCAAATCATACAGTAACTTTTTCGGGTGATTGCATTATAGTTTGTTGTTCGCAGAAGGCGGTCGTAGTGATTGTTGAAGTCAAGGCGCTCTCCAAGTGTTTTTGTTGGCTTGGATGATTTGTTTATCCACATTGTCCTCAAGTGTGTTGTTGCAATGCAGTGCAGGTTTCCCGAAACCTGCCGCAAAGAACAAACTCAAACCCACCACGAAACTTAACCGCGCAGGTTTAATTCAAATACGTGGAGCCGCTTTGCCTGGAGACGATGGCCTAAGCCGCCACGGATGACTTTTGCAACACAAAACATGTTTCGTGCAAGATCTCTTCCCAAAGGCCCTTACGATGTCAGAGGAATGCACCACGCCTACACCTGTATGTAATGCATGAAGTGTGGGGCAGCAATCCACCTAATCAAAGTGCCCTTGCTGTGGCAAAATGTGTGTTTTAACAATTTTAAACATGTGACGAGTCTGCTCTTAGCCAGTTGAACGCTCATGACGCGTCAAGTCAAATGCATTTCACAAATCACCGAACTCAATTTGAGTCACCAAGTTGAAAAGAATGAGATGGAGTGACTGACGCGCACAAAAACCAAAATCTTGTCACTGTTCTGCGACGTGAAAATCAGGGGAGCTGGAGTGCCACCCGTGTGTCCAAGATCAATTGACTTAGCTAGAAACAAGAAGCTGGTAGTAACAAGTGCATCGCTACTAGTAACAAGTGCCTTACTACTAGTAACAAGAAGCTACTAGGTCAGAGGTCATCGCTACGTTGGAGGCCGCTAGTAGGTTGGAGGCCATTACTACTAGTAGCTATACGAGCATACAACCAGAACTGGCGGTCATGTTGCTGGCCATGTGCACTCGGCTCGAAGGGGCCAGACCCACCTCAAGTAGGGCAAACGAGCTCAAACGATCAAAAGCCGCACTCTCTGAATGTCTTATCTCGGCTCCTTACAACAAGTAATGGCCTACAACCTACTAGCGATGGCCTCCTCCTTACAACAACTCAATGTTCTTTGAAAGGAATACGTTTAGTTTGAAGAAAGCATGGCGTGCATCACACTCTTGGATTCTTCTTGTTTTCACGTTCGTCCACCTGGCAATGTTTTCACGTACTTGGAGGCCATCGCTAGTAGGTTGGAGGCCATTGGTATTAGGGGCAAGGACCCTACTAGTAGCTCCTGGCATTGGCATTACTACTAGGAGCAAGAAGCTAATAGGAACAAAGAGCATCGCTACTAGGAAGAAGAAGCTACTAGTAGCAAGGACGCTACTAGGGGCTCTTGGCATCGCTACTAGGAGCAAGGACGCTACTAGTAGCAAAGGGCATTCCACGCAGACCACGTCATGAAGCCCCCTGATATATTACTGCAGGGGAGGGCTCCCTTTAGCAAGGACGAGCAGATGGAATGACGATGAATGACGGAGACTCGGACCGTTTGAAACTGACAATTGCCTTCGAACGGAAACTATGGACTATGCAAATCATACTAGCAATGGCCTCCAACCTAATGGCATCCTTGCTCCTAGTAGCGATGCTCTTTGTTACTAGTAGCGTCCGAACGCTCCTAAGTAGCGATGCCAGGAGCCCCTAGTAGCTTCTTGTTACTACTAGTAAGGCACCTGTTACTACTAGT